ATTTAAAGAATGACCGGCGGTTAATCGTGAAGCATACCAATATAAGAAGTACAAATATAGAAAGCATTATAGGAAATGGTTTTCACCATCTGGAGGAAAAGGTTTTTATTTTATACCCACCCCACGACTTGTGCATAATAAATCATGCCTATAAATAGTTCTGATAATATCCACAAAAATATAAAGACAATTTATTTATTGGTTAAGAGTGGTCAATAGCAGAGAGAGAGAGAGAGAGAGAGAGAGAGAGAGAGAGAGCTTTTATGGATGTAAACAGTGTGGACATAGGAATCAACACTGCATGACTTGATCTAAAGATCACACTGTAGCGTGAAACTGACAGACACCGTGTCCTATGACCATTCTCTCTCTCTCTCTCTCTTTATATATATATATATATATATATATATATATATATATATATATATAATAATACAGGTAATCGATCCGTTGGTATATAATACTGGTGGATCGGAATAACATTAATTATTAAAACTGGTCCACACAAGGCTCGATGTTTTTATTTTAACAGAGCTTATGTTTTTTTTTACAGCGAAAAAAAGAAACAAAAATCAAAATAGAGGTAATTTTTTGTAACTCTTGTCTTTTTTAAAATAATATATATATATATATATATATATATATATATATATATATATATATATATATATATATATATATATATATCTTAGCTTCTTGTCACCCAGTCAGTTATACTCTTCAAAGATTTGAATGCACTGTAAATCGTTATCTTATGTCTTCTTGATTTTTGTTCTTTTCTTCTCTTTCCCCATAACAGTATTTTCTGATATTCACTAACACTCCTTGCGTTTTAGTGGCTTTATTGCCTTGCTTGACGTGAAATGATTAAATAATATTCATATATACGTATGTCAGTGTGTATGTTTATTTCATTTTATTTAATTTTTTTATTATTTTAAACAGTGTGAATTACATCTGCCGGTCTGAGCATTTGAGAGACTTAATGGAGGTAAATATGCTCTCTAGCAGGATCGAACCTCGATCCAATTTTCTAAAAGTTTCTCTGTCTCTCTATCTATCTCTCTGCCTGCCTGCCCTCTCTCTCTCTCTCTCTCTCTCTCTATATATATATATATATATATATATATATATATATATATATATATATATATATATATATATATATTTTATATATATATATATATATATATATATACAGATAAACTAACACAATAAACTAAAGAATAAGACCAATTTTAACTCATCGTTTGTATCACTTGAGATTGAGGCAAGTAAATGGAAATTAATGTTTCCCTGAATGTATGCAGTAAAAAAACAGATGACGTCAGATTTTGTAAGTACAAAACATGAAATTTTCTGAAATTGTGTAGTGTCAGGTTTGTAAGTGGATTTTGTCTGGCCATCTTCTTTTATGTGCCGTGTCCCTTTAGGACTTGAGCGGTCAAAAAAATTTACAGCTTTCTTAATATCCTTTCCAATCGCTGTTCTGACATCCATTTCCACGATGTTTCTCTCTGGCCCACTTGTCTCTAATATATTCTCCAAGCACTTTTTTCTCATTAGGTGACCCAGAGATTTACGTTATTTCTTTTTGATACTACCTATAAGTGACCTTTTCCATTCCGTTTTCCTTAAAACTTCCTAGTTGCACACATATTTCGTCCATGGTCTCAGCATTTTTCCGTAGAACAACATCTCATTATCCTGAAGTCTCCGATTCATTTGTAAAGAAATTGTTAAAAATTCATTGCGATAAAGGAAGAGTCTAGTACTGTTTTCTTTGTTTTTTTACGAAATTTTTATTTCCTTTTTTTTAATCATTTCACCTCCAAACAAGGCGACAATGCCACTAGGACTCAGGGGCTTCCAGAGAACGAGAAAACTTTAGCGAGAAGTGAGAAAAAAGGACAATTTAGGAAGAGGGTGCATGAAGACAGAAGAAATTACCTGTTATGTCAAGCAGTGTCCGTTGAGAGTGTGGACTTTCCGCTTGTTGGACCTAAGAGGGAAAACACGCGCATTCAGTTTGTTCTCTTTTTGCCTCGTCTAGCCTGAAGAGAAAGTGACGTAGAGCGTTTCTGATTGGTCGCTTGCTATTTCAAGATCAGCAGTTTATATATATGAAAATAAATAAATTTCGTTGACATACTCTAACATTCTGAAAAGAAGATGTTCATGAATACACATTCTATATTACTTATTATGCTATGTTACTATATATATATATATATATATATATATATATATATATATATATATATATATATAAAAGAAATATGTTGTAGTGGTTCCAACGAGAGAAAAGTATGTATATTAAAAAAAGAAGAGAAGAGAGGTGCAGCAAACGTTTTTGGTTGTAATGTGGATTTATTTAGAAAAAAATATTATGCTTTGTTTTACATAATTTTACGACACGTATTTCTGGTCTCGTGACCGTCTTCAGGTAAAAGCGGAGATTTCCACATATTATTAAAAATAATTAATTTTTCCTTATGTTCAATGTTAAATATTCTCGATATGAGACATTCTCTTACCAACACACAAACAGAGAATGCGAATCAAACCCTATAAATTGTACCTCTCCAATTTCATTACGGACAGCCATCCCTACACTTATTAAAAAAAAAAACGGTTTTAAACATAGAATAATATTATTTAGTTTTATGATAATTCTTATTTTATTTTACAGCACTTTTTAAAGTTTTTGTAGCTGTGCATAATACGCACCTCTGATTTTGCTTATTTTTTTTTAGAAGAAAATGCGTATTATACAAGGGGAGTTACGGTAATAATGTTTGAGTCTTGCTTTTTAAAGAAACGCTTATATAGCTCTAATGGGTTCTCTAATGGATAAATATTGTAAGAACAATAACTAAATAAATAGATGTATACAAAACAAAATATTCTTCTGCGTCCTTGTCATCATCCATTCGACCTACGTTGTCGACATTATTAAGAAAAGAACCATTGTTTGGCGAAACTCTACGATTTGAAATAACCCTTGGCTTTAGGATGATAACTATGTCCGGCAGCATTCTATCATAGGGATCTTTGTGAAAGCAGCCAATTATTTTCTCTTATTTTATTCCCGGGATCAGATCCATGGACATTTCTATCTCAAGCAACGTGTCTAGCAATGACCAGATAATAAGTAAGAAGTCATTACTTTAGGAATTTATTTGCTCGCTGTCGGGGATTTGCGTCACAAACATTGCAATTAGTGTGTCAGCCCTGATGGTTTTACTAGATTTGTTAATTCGATAGGCGAAAGATTAATAGAGTCGGATCAAAATATGCTCAATCTATAGATGGCATTTTCAACATCTAAACACGAGTGCATGTCCTTAAAAGTACATAGCTACTGAGCCACTTTTCATAAAATCTCTCATGCCTAAGGTAAGACTTCGTCAATCCAGAATAAGAAATAGATTGTTCGAGCAGTTAAAAGAGATATGAAGGGCATTGGACATAATAAAACAACTAAAGATGAACAAAATTACATCAGATCGTCGGTCCAATATGCTAAAGAAGTTTTATTAAAAAAGTTAGGACTACCACGTGACTATACAAACTAATAAAAGCCGTGTTGGCTTTTATTGTGATTCGTGTAGTCAAACGAAACGTGATTAAAAAAAGGAAAAAAAAAAGGAAAAAAAAGGAAAAAAAAGAAAAAAAAAAGGAAAAAAAAGGAATAAAAAAGAAGATAACATAACAAACAACGGCCATGGCGGAGAAGGTAATGACTGCATCGGCGTGCATACTAATCATAATCTGTTCACCAATTAGTCAAAACAAGACAAATAGTTTACTTACATTATTTACTGTTGTCCTTATCTTTACTGTCATATTATCGACGTTTCGGCCGTTGTACGCTCCTGCCTTCTTCAGGTGATTGGAATTTCGAACTGAACTTTTTATTTCGTCCAGCGGGGTAGGTTGTTCTAGTTCCACGTGTCATGCCTCTTCCGGATGTCTCAGTTTTCTCCTTTGAACTCAACTATCCAAGTTTTTGTTCACCACTGCAGTAGCCAGGTATTGAACCCACAACTCTTTGGGTCAAGTCACTAGATCCAAACAATGCTTTTATCCACTGGACCATGTGTCTTTGAGGAAAAGGGTTTAGTCCGAAATTCTAGTCATCTGAAGAAGGCCGGATAGTACAACGACCGAAACGTAAATATGACAATAAAGATGAGGACAACAGTCCAAACAATGTGAATAATATAAATAATTGCAAAATCTCATCTCAGAAATATGGACAAAATTAGTTTAGGTTTACAGGAGAATCGAAAATGTAGCCATACGGTCGGTTTGCACTGGACAAAATATACACATCTCAGGTTTATCCGAGAGTCAAAAAACGTAAACATAAGGGTGGTTTAAATGATAAGATAGATTTAGGTTCGGTTTATGTTACAGTAGAAAAGCGAGACGTGAGTTCAGTTTGCACTGGTACCGAAAAAAGGTAGACAAAGGCCCGGTTTACATTAGATTAAAAAGGTCGATATAGGCCCGGTTAACACTAAAAACAAAAAGGCAGACATTGGTCGGAACTATAGACAAGTCTGCATGTATCTACCCAGAAGGTAGTTTTTAATGCCGTAGGCGTAATTTCAGCCCCGGAGAAAAGGGAAAGAAATAAAAATTGTATTGACTTAGAAAAGAAATAAAGATTCGAAATAAAGTTAAAAAAATATATATATATATATAGAAAGAAATAAAAATAAAATATATGTTGATATGTACGTTTGTTTTGTGCAGACGAATATATGTTTATGTTGCCTGTCAGGTGAAAAGACTTAATAGGAGACCCAATCCTATTTCGGTGAACCTCACAAAGAATGGCGACTGTGAAATGATATGCAAGAAGTGGTGACGGATATCCTTCAGTTGTATGCAAATGAGTTTCATCATTTTCAAATTGAAGGGAACCCAAAATAGGATAAATGTTCCAGTGTTATAGTTTCTCTTCGCGAAATAAGGAAAGAAGCTCGAATTCACTTGATTGATAATAAACAGAAAGAAAAGCTGCAACGAAGAAGAAAAAAAAAAGATATAATACGCCCAAAGAAAGAAAGAAAGAAGACAGAAAGAAAGAAAGAAAGAAAGAATAGGTTACTAGAAGAAGAAACAGAAGTAAATTTCGTAGTCAAGAAGAAAGTGAATCAATAAATATTACACACAAAAGACTAGAAAGAAAACGAAAAAATAAATTAACATGTATTTTAATAGAGAGAAAGGTAGAAAGAAAGAAAGAAAAAAGCAAGAAAAAAAGAAAGCAAAAGTAAAATTAGAAAAAAATTAAGTAAAACGAGGCAAAAAGAAACAGATATTTCAAGAAAGAAGGAAAAAGAGAAAAGAAGTAAAGAGATTAAATAAAAATATGATAGTTTTCCAAGCGTAGCTTAGATGCGACCCAAGGATCGAACTCACCACTCAGTCCGTAAGTGATCTAGTGAGTCAAGCTTGCTAACCTTTACACCACGTTGAGCTAAAAACCTGTTCGATAAAAACATGGGCTGAAATAGATTGGTTGATTCGTTTTCCAGGGTTCATTAAACCCTTGCAGGTTATTTAAAGACAGAAAATATTCTTAGATTGTAAGAAGTTTTTTGAGATAATAATAGTTTAGTTTTACTACTCTTACGTATTAACCCATAGCTCGTGGCGTGATGAAGTGTATTTGTGCGTAATTAAATATAACAAACCGAACAGAAAATTGGAACTCGGCTCTCCGATTAACAATTTAGAGCCATTATCCATTACACCACCCGCACAACCACGCTTACAGCACCTAGTATTCTCACATGATCACTATGAGCCGAATAGAAAGAAAGAAAGAAAGAAAGAAAGAAAGAAAGAAGGAAAGAAAGAAAGAAGCAGAGAAAGAAAGAATGAATGAAAGAAATATGGAAATAAATAAAGAATGAATGAAAGAAGTAATGAAAGAACAAAAGGGAAGGAATGAAAGAAAGAAGGAAAGAAAGAACGAAAGAATGAAAAATAAAGAAAGAAAGAAAGAAAGAAGGAATGAAAGAAGGAATGAAAGAAGGAAAGAAAGAACGAAAGAATAAAAGAAAGAAAGAAAGAACGAACGAAGGAAAGAATGAAAGAAGGAAAGAAGGAAGGAAGCATAGAAAGAAAGAATGAATGAAAGAAGTCATGAAAGAACAAAAAGGAAGAAATGAAAGAAAGAACGAAAGAAAGAAAGAAAGAAAAAGAAAGAAAGAGAAAGAAAGAACGAAAGAAAGAACGAAAGAAAGAAAGAAAGAGAAAGAAAGAAAGAAGCAATGGGAGAAAAATAAGAAAAGAAAGACATAAAAGGATAAAGATAAATAGAATGAAAAAGAAAAAGGAACTCATCAGGAGCATAAAAAAGCAAATATTCATGACTGCAAGTTGTTCGACTACGTCTCAGGATAATAGTTAACAAGTTTTCTTTTTAACTATATTTAGTTAGTTCAATCCTCTCTGTTTATTCCATACTTGTGGTGTTGTAGGATCTTAAGCTATGGAGCATCACCTCCAAGTTGTTTATACGGTGAAGATGGCGTAATTTTTTTTAAATGTTAATTGCTCATTAGAAACAGACAACTTGAAGTGCGAAGAAAAACATGAATAAACTGTATCAAATTTACTTGAAAACTTAAAACTTTCAAAGGATGATTCTTATTCGTTCCCGTCTTTTGAGACATGGAACAATTTATAAAATGTCAATATCTGTCATTTTCTGTTTAGTTTGCACAGATTTTCTGTCCATCCCAGCGTGAGCAATTTTTACAGATCAACAACTCGATAACTACTTATCACTTGGGAAATGTAAGCATGACTTAACTCCAGAGGCTAAACGAATTGTTCTACAATTTATTTAAAATCTGAGTTTAAAATGTCAACGTGGAATCTTAATACGGAAGCTGTTAATCAGTGAAGAAACATTGTCAAATAAACATGATTCAATAGTTTACTTAGCAATATATCCTTACTCTGATAAATTCAGCACAATCCCAGTCTTAGAGACATTTTCGTTTTGGTTTTTCTTAAATATAATCTACATCTTAGAAACTGTGTTTTTCTATCGAACTATTGTCCTCATCGTTGTTGTTGTTGTTGTTATCACTACGTTTCGACCATTGTGTCTTCCGGCCTTCATCAGGTGTATATCAGTTCGGATAAGCTAAAAAGAAATACCGAACTGAATCATTTATTTAATCTACGGAGGTAGACTGTTCTTGTCCTACGGGGCAGTGCCCTAGTGGATTAAAGAGTTGGTTCGTGGATTTGGTGACATATTAATTGTGAGTTCAATCTCTAGGCCGGGCAGTGTCTACTTGAGCTCAATGAAAATAGTCCTAGCAATAATTGAGGAAAACCATAAATAAGAACAAGATATCTCTAAACATGGGCAATAGAAGAAGAAAACAAGAACAAGAAAAGTATGTCCCCTTTTATTAAATAAAGAATTCAGTTAAGGATTCGCTGTTGGTTAACCGGATCGATATACACCTGATGAAGGGCGGAAGTCATAAACGTTGAGATAACAACAAAGATGAAGACAATAATCCAAATGTAAACAGTGTAAATAATGATATCTTATCCTCGCAGAAATACAGAGAGACATTGTTTCCCTGTTTTTCAATTTACATATATATACAGGGTGTCCTCAAAATGTACTAATTTTTTGACTTATTATAATTTCGTGGAGTTTTTCTTTTTTCATATCTATGCATTTAGTTACATTTAATATTTAAACTCTTAACCTTCTTTGTACATCAGTAAAAGTTAATATTTCTTAATGTTAACCATTAATCTGGTTTGCAAGTCAAGGAACACTGCATTTATTGTCATTTAAAGAGTACGTTTTTGGGGACATTGGCCAGAAATTTGGAAACGGCATGCTGCGTTACTTGGCATTCGCGCCGAAAGCTCCAATACGAACATTTTAGAGTGTCTGGGTGTCAATCCAGCGTAGGGACCCAAATCTTCAGTCGGTTATAACCCCAAAGTATAATTCCATCCTACCAAACATGTTTACCTTTCTGGATGAAGAATCGCACTGAATACTTTTGAAACCTTCGAATGAATTGAAATAAATTATTAAGAAAATTCTGTAAAGTTTAAAATAAATTATAATTCATAATTGTAACATACAAGATTTTTATTCTTTTTCTTAATTCTTGGCACTTTCAATTGCCTTATTATCCCTTGCGTTCCATGTTGTTGCAAAGAATCCACATTTCATCGGTTGATAGGATTTGTTTCAAGATCAGAACATTTTATTTATATGGAAGCTACTCATTCAAGGGAATAACATAATCATTTTTTATATAATTTTCAACTCACTGTGCCATGTGTCCTCAAGGACACATGGCACAGTGGATAAAGGCGTTGGTTAGATCCAGTGAGAGGACCTAAAGAGTGTGAGTTCAATACCCGGTTAAGGCAGTGGAGAACTTTCAAAGGGAAATTAGCAGGAGATAACTGATAACTGACATCCATTAAAAACATAGCACGTGGAACTAGAACAGTCTACCCCAGTGAGCAAAATAAAGGGTTCAGTTCGACATTCCAACCACCTAAAGAAGGCCAGAGCATACAACGGCCGAAACGTTGTGATAAATATGGCGACAAAGATGAGGACAATAGTCCGAATAATGCAAATAATGTACATAATACCTCATCTCAGAAATATAGACAGAAATTCCTACTAGCTTATTTACAATTAGGTAATGACTGAAACGATTCAAAAGTTTAAATAAAATGCCATAACCTATAACTAATAAACTTTATTTTGAAGGCTATAATGTTGAATCAATGAAAGCGTGCAAAAACAAATAAATATATTTTACTATTGTGCCTCGAATACAAAGCGCAAATGTAGAGATTTACAAAATGGCGCTGTAAGGACGAACAGGTAAGAAACAAGTGATGCGCATTTTGAGGATATTAAGGATAGATTGCGGTTGACTCTCGATTTGAACAGGTTAAAATTATAGTGATCATGAAACCGTTCTGTAATACAAACGTCTCCTTAAGAGTCTGGCTGAGTGGAACTTCCCCCTTACCAATGGAATATGAATGGAATGAAGATGGGTTTACGTGTCATGACGAGTCCTATCTGTGAAGGTCTAGACTGGAGGAACCAAGGAATATAGTTTGCCCGAATATATAAATATATTAATAGATAAAAGGAGGATAGCGGCACGGATTGAGGAATCGGAGAGCCGAGTTCGAATTCCAGTCGAATCCATTACATTCACTTACGTGCTAATGCCCTTTGGAAAAGTATGAATCCTCCTCTTCTCTCCCCAGATATGAACGCACCCGGTTCTATAGCCTTGGATGACAACTGGTCTACCGCAGAAAGAAATGACAACCTACTACGTGAAAAAAATCTGACTCGTCAGTCATGTGTCGAAAGATAAATGATCGTCTAAGCGTGTATCACGTATGGCACATAACTGACTGAATAGAATAATAAAAATAAAGTGGAAGTTCCGGTTTCAATCGTTATCTATCTATCTATCTATCTATCTATATATATATATATATATATATATATAGGGTCTTCAAAAGGAGTGATACATGATCTGAAGATCGTTTAAGGCGTGAAATTGACAGTCACCATGCAGTGTTGAATGACCATTACATCTTGGTCGTGCTATGGTATTTTCACAGAGCCGAATTATCCTCATTTCGTTCCTATTGTAAATATACGTAGAAAGTTCCAATTAGGCTTTTACCCAGGAAGTACTATTTTGTGAAATATGCTTCCATGTGGATGCTTCCCTGAAAACTTTGATCTGAACCTCTTCAAGTCATTATGTCAATCCTCATCTATTCTGCATATCTTCATAATCTTCACTTCATAGCAAATTTTCTCTTATTCATATCACACATCATCATAAGCATTTCAATAGTGAATTTCTATCTGGAGTGGCTTTCGAGCCTTGTATTGGGTAAAATTCAGTATTAAAAAATAAGAAAAAAATAAATAGATAAATTAAGAATAATGTTTACCAATAGTATAACTAATAAAAATAAAAGCAAAACGATACCGCTACTACTAATATTACTAATGAAAAAAAAAGCAGTTAGAATAATCGTGTAATGAAGATTAGTGTATAGGTTAGATTTGATTTATTTCAAAGGAGTTGAGTTCTCGGAGTTTAATCGCTGGGGCGTTTAACAAGGTTTGCCTGAGACAAAAAGCATATGACTTTGAATCTTACCAACTGTTTATTCATTCTGATCTTATCCTGCACTGTCTATTCACTGATATAGATTGATAGCTTGATTAACGTTCCAATAAAAAGCAAGTATTAAAAGGAGAGTAATCAGTTAAAATTAATATTAATTGCCACTTTTTATTGATATTTATTCAATCTGACGTTGAATGAAATGAGGTTAAATTGGAAGTGTTGAAAGAAACTTGGAAGACTGGGTTGTTTCCAAGTCGGAATAGTTTTGTTTTTCTCAAAACCTTGGGTTTTACCGGGATTCGAACACTGATGATGTTAATAAAAACTCAAATAACTAACCTGCATCTTATATTCATATTTTCTTGTTTACTTCACATTGGTTGCTTAGAAGCAACTGGAGCCATCTTTATCTCAGTTCTTCTTCATATCACAGTTTTTTTTTCTTTTTTATAATTTAGATTTATTAAAGGCAGGAAGGAAAGTTCTGACTCTTTATTTCATAGTCGCCGTCGTGTCTTTTGCTTAAGGCAAAGAATAGATTTAAAACTGGTATATATATATATATATATATATATATATATATATATATATATATATATATATATATATATATACGTACATATATATATATATATATATATATATATATATATATATATATATATACATACGTACATATATATATATATATATATATATATATATATATATATATATACATACGTACGTACGTATATATATATATATCAGCTTTTGTGTATTTCTTTTACTTGTCTGAATAATTCCAAAGGCCTTTCTTATTTTGGTATTCATCACAATTATCTTTATCCAAACGTTACCTGGACAGCTAATTTGGTTCTTTACATATATGTATAACGATATCCTTGGCAAGAAGCCTGGACTTATTATATTTAGTCTGACAGAAAGATAGACTGATATATATGAATATTTACAGAGTTTACTCTCTTACAGCACAATCTCAATAGTATAAGGTATCCAAAGGATTTTAGTGAGGATCCAACTCAATACAAATACAATAACCTGTGAGACAGATTGCAATCTAATAAAAGATCTGACAAAAATGGTGCTTGTATTATCACAAAAAGAAACAGAATCTAAATGAAATCGGCTAGATTATACACACAAAACACATATAAAAAAAAA